ATTAAAATAGTTAGACTATAAAAACTAAAATAAGTTTTACATAAACATAATATGTGTCAATGTCACACATCTATAAACTATGACTGTATCCCAATACACAAATCTAAGCACAACGGTAGAATTTTCATAATCTTCACCAGCATGCATATGTGACATGGGTAGAGGCCACATTTTGCACAAGTTCCTTGGTCTTCTCCAATGAGCTTTTGAATGCAGGCAAAGGAACATTTATCAAGGGGTGGTCAACATTATCAGCGCGGGGGGTCAATGGAAAGATAAGAGAAACAAATGATGAAAAAAATGAAATGGGAGGATGACTTCATGAATGGCCTCATGGCACCAGAAAATGTAAATGATGAGAGAAGAGAAGGCAATGGATATGAGTATATATACAGTGCACACCATGTTGTGAGATTGGTTGTATTGGAGAATACGAATTATGGATCATAGTATGAGTATGAGTATCTTTGCACCATTTTTCTTTTCTTTTTTAAAGATTTGTTTCCTAGTTAAACCTGAAACATATCCTTCAAATTAACCAAAGCCAAGGAAAGCATTTAATTTCTCACTTTGCATCAAATCCACCCACTGCACAGAAGATCAACTTGTTTCAATATTTCTTGAAACCCAATGCACCTAAAGATAGAAAGGCATTACCTGTTACCATTTCAACTTTCTATCACAATGTCACTATTTGACCCCGAAACTTTATAGCCTTACGAAATCCACACAAAAAGGAAAAAACACAAATTGAAATTTAGTACGGAGAGGTAAAATAAGGAGACAAATCATGCACTAACAAAAACCCTGGTGTCTAAGGAATCCCTGTGGAAGGTAACAATAATCTTTGAAGAATATGTGATTTATGGATCATGACTATCTTTGGATGCATTTATGGATCATAAGATGATATACAATGCACCATTTTTATTTTTTTTTTAAGATTTGGTACCTATTTACACCCGAAACATATATATCCTTTCAAATGAACAAAAGCCAGGAAAGCATTTAATTTCTTATTTATGCCACAAAATTTCAGACCCTTGAAATTTCAACCAAAATTCGGTTTCGAGCTGTATCAAAGAAATGGAATTTGAGCACTATATTAAGGTTATATTTTGAGAAAAAAAGGTTTAGAAGTCTTTTAGGATGTGCAAGTTTTGGCTAGTTTTTCAAAAATTTCCCTTAATATATTTCTCCCTCTCAACTCCACCCATCTTATTATTTCGTGAACTTCACTGAAGCTCAACTTGTTCAATTTCTTGAAATCCAATGTACTTGTGACCGTTTGACCCTATGAATTTTTCATTCCAAACTCACTATTTGAACCAAAACTTTTTCTTGGGTCTGAAATTCATGTTGTATTCATAAAACCCCAAAACAGGGAATAGAGATACAAATAGAAGGCTAAAGCCATGAGGAGCCAACAGAACACAAGAACAAACTAACAAAAGCAGGGTCAGACATATATAGCTAGATTCCACCGGAACCTAGAGCAACAGTCCTTACCCATCAAACTAGCTACTAATAGGAATTAAAACTAAACAGCAGATGCAACATGAGGTGGACAAGGCAAACCATCAGAAGTCAATGGTGGTCTGTCGACCCAACTTTGCAGTTCCATAGCTTTGTTACCTATCGACACCGCTGCATGAGCTGCACGATTTGCACTCCTAGGCACCCATGACCAAGTCACCTATTTGAAGCTCGAAACCACAACATGTATTTCGTCAATAAGAGGAAGGATAGGCCAGGAGTTGCTACCATGATTTCCAGTAATGCCATCTATTAACACCTTGCAATCTGTCTCCAAGATGACTTTCAGATAACCCATGTTTTTAGCAAGATGTAAAGCACAAAGAGCTGCTGCCGCTTCTGCACTAAGAGATGAAACACATAAAAGTGGGGAAGCCAGACCACCACACCATTCCCCAGAGGAATTACGAGACACAATGCCAATGATGCCCTTCATTGTGTGCCAGGAAACCAAGAACCATCAAATAAGTTGAATTTTACGTAGTTTGGGCTTGGTTTAGACCAACGGGTTCTTTGGACATGATGGACAGGAGAGAGGATTTGAAAAGAGAACGGTTTGACTCCTTAAAATTAAGGAGGAGTTACTCCTTAAAACAAATGGGGTTTTGACACCTATCAAATTCCATCAATATTAACAAAAAAGAAAAATGAATATTAAAAAAATTTAACACATGTTAAAACCACATTGATTACAAGGAGGAGCTCCTCCTCAATTTAAGGATCCATATGAAAATCCACAAAAAGAAAAAAAACACAAATTGAAATTTAAAGAAATAATCCACTCTAGCCAACTTGAGTGCATAGTGGAGAGTACATCCACTTTAACTAACTTGGCTAAAGGCCATGTCTGCTCCCTTAGAGCATCTCCACTCACAAGGGCTAAGTCTAAGGCAATGGCAAGTAAGGGCTGCAACTATTCACGTAAATAGTGTCAGCCTTTGCATTTGTGGTTCCACCCATGAGGGCAAAGTCTAAGGCAAGTCAAGGGCAAGAAAAAAAAATATATATGCAACAAAATATAAAATTGTTATGTATTTATAGGGAAAGTGAATAAAATTGTTATGTATTTATAGGGAAAATATCCATAATTTTTTGGTATTTTTTTTTAAAAAAATTGAATTTTTTATAATTTTTTTGAATTTTTTTTTGCTCGCTGACGTCAGCCTACCACAAGCGCTGACGT